CGTCTTCATTACTATTGCTCAAATTAGAACCTTTTGTCACACAACAGATTCCCAATAAAAGGCAACATAATGAATGCACAGGAACAGATAAAAGCATCCCATGATGTTTAGTTGTTTATAAGAAAGAAATGATTTCTTCCTTTTACTGGTAACTATAACCCATGATGTCTTCAAACTCACAACCCATATTTCTTTTAATTTTATAAGAACAACCCAGACAGAAATGACTCCTATCTTTTGTAAGTAATTTTGAGTTATCTGGATCATGAAATATTTCTTGAAGCAGACGGTTTGACTTCTCATACTCATCATGGATAGAAGAAACTAGTCTTACAGGCCATATCTATATGGGAAAGAATATGCAAATAACATTTTCCAAAACAATTTTCCTCCCTTTAGATTATCCATATACCTGTCTGCTTTTAGAGTACAGACAGGTATCAAAGTCTAAAAGAAGACCATGAGAGGAAATGTTATTCTGGCATATCATACTTTCTCTCATCCTTTACTCATGAAACATTCCCAGATTCCCCAGTGGACTAAGCCTCAGTCAGTCATACATAATCTAAAAGATGAAAAAGACAGCAAAACAATGTCTCTACTCGAAATCTAATAAAAAAAAACCCACCCCCAAAGGAGCAACTTGGATGACAACATCTCAAGGGTTTACCTCAGGGGTGGCTATCAGCATGCACTAGGAATCAGTTAAGGGGATTTTTCCCAGCGTCTTTAGAGCACAAAGGCATCTTTAAAAACAAAGGCAATCTCCCCATTCAGCCACTGTTTGTGATATCCCAGTCAAAGGAAAAATCGGCTGTGTGTATTTTAGAGGATACTGTGTATATTTTTTAAAGGGGGAGGAAAGGAAACACAGAGGAATGAAGAAAAAGGAAGGATGGAAGGAAGTGTGAAAGGAAGGGAGGAACCAAAAAGATAAAAGAAAAAGGAAAGAAACCAGAAATCAAGCATTAATGAGTTAGGGCAGTCTAGAGGCTCCAACGACATCTCAACAGCTTGCATAGCTGGGAAAATATGGGATTACCATTCAGAAATCTTCCTTTCTTTCTAACCAGCTTGAACCCATTATCTATTCTTGTTCAGCCTATGACCTTTGCAAGCTCCTGTTCTCAACTCATGACTCAAAGCTTCTACTACTGTACCCTCTTCTTTCCCTTGACCACTAGAAAGTTTGTTTTGAGACCAGAAGCCATAGGGATAGGAAACTCCTAGAGCTTTTCTCTCCTCTAAAGCAGAATTGCTTCAGAGGAAGCGATGTGAGGCGTGATTGATCAGCTTGGCAGAACAGTCGTAGAGTGTGGCCTATGTTTGACGATGCAGAGATTCAGAAATGTACTTGATGCTTTTCCGATCCATCTAATGATTTTTCTCATGTAGGTATTTAGTTTCTTCAGTGAAAATGTTCAAAAATATTCATTGCAATTTGATTGGACTGATAAACCACAGTTCTATACTTGGCCAAAAATAAATTGAAAAATAAAGACTTTTAGTATGATTTTAAAAATCAGTATCCTCCTGGAATTTCTTGCCCTGTGCTCAGATCAGTTTCAATCCAATAGTATATTATTTTGACTGATCTTTTACACATTTTTAAAAAGGACATTTGAATATTTTGCCAGGTAGATCATTTTCAAGCTGACAGTGTTTAAAAAGAAAAAAAAGTGCCTGTTTAAGCTACAATGTTTATATAGCATTTTTAAAATAGTGGGTTCTGGTGACCATCTATTGTCTACAAGGACATGCAGCCAATGGTCCCTGCTGATCTTACAATTCCTTGGGGTTATACCATTTATATTATTTTGCTGATAATAAGTTAGATGAAGAAGCAGCATTTTTCTGTATTGACAAGCCCTGGCCAAGAACAACAAGAAAAAGAAATAGCATTTTAAAAACTGGCAAATGTTTATGAATCCTAATCCTCTACACATGAATAAATACATCTGACGAAGTGCAGAGTCCCATGCAAAGTCCCCCTTGACCTTTCTAATTTGAGCTCAATTGCATGCTCATGTTTGGGAAGCTAGTTGGTTCTGTCACAGCTTTAGGCTCCAGCTTCACTACGTTTTGTTATTTGTAAAAGTGAAATCCCAGATAATAAGTCATAATTGCTCTATTAATCACTTGTGTGGGGGGGCTTGTAGGGAAATTGGGATTTTTAAATTGCAGTAATTGGTATCTGAAAGACCTCATTTTTATTTTCTTATCCAGAGATTACCACATAAAACTGCTGTAGAAATTGCATGTAGGTATTTTGGTTAAATGGTGAGGTACATGCAATATGCCTTATATATTATTTTTTCTGCAGGAATGAAATTTAAAACTTCAATGACCTTTGACCTGGAAAAAATACCCAAAGCCAGGCATTGGATTATAAATTATATTGTCAATGAAAGTGAGAACTCTTTGTTTCTTGAATTGTTTCAAGTATTACACTTTCATTTCCTCTTTCCAAATGAATTATACTGTACAGCACACTTGTATTTTTCTTCCACTTTTCATTTTAAAAGCCCCTATTTCTCTTTGCTTTGTTCTTCTGGGTGAAGAAAGATCCACTGCAACAAAATTTAACTTTCAATGTTCAATATATCAACTCCATCTGTCATTCCTAAAGTATCTTGTAGGAAGTCTATATACCTAGAATCTTTTGGAGGAAAAACTGAAGCAACAAGACTAAATTTTCCTTTAGTTAAACTGAACAAATTTTAGATTTTGATTATGTGATTGAAGATGGCCAATCAAAGGAGACAGGATGTTAACTGTGATATTACAACTCCAAGATAAAACTTACTAGAAGATATCCAGAGACTTAGAGTCAGTTAAAAAATTTCAGTTACTACTTCCTGGATTTTATTCATCAGCCATCTCTACACTCCCGCAGAGTATGACTGTCGAATGATGCTTTTATCCTCTATGTCAGAGCCTGGTCTTCCTTAGGATATGATATCCAGGGAGAGATGCTTTTTGGAAGTGAGAACTTTGCCAAGTACAGAGATTTCAATGGTAAAAAGACTCATCTCAATGACTGCATGGAAAGAGAGCCACTAAATCTGTAGTTTCCTTCCATGGAGTTGGAAATGTAGCTTGCTTGTGTTGCTAGGTAATATTTTTTTCTAGGCAGGATGATCACCTCTGAAGTCACAATGCTCATCCTGGTTTTTCTGGTGGAAACCACCATCCTACTTAACTAAAACACTTTCAAACACTTTAAGCTTGCAAAAGTGATTTAAAGGCCATAAACAGCTGGTCCGAAAAACATTATCTAAGGGGCAAGCAGAACAAGCTAAAATCAACCCTGGCAAAATAGATACAGCGATTTTGACACTTCTTCATTGCCCCCCCCAAACAATCCCACATAGCATTTGACATTATTAGTTTACAACAATCACAAAAAGACTATTTTTTTTTCAAAAGTCTTGGATACTGTGAAGTAGAAGAGCAGCCTATTGCTGATGCTAATCTTGAAGCTGTTACCCTCTCCTGGCTCCTCGCCAGGAGGTTTTACACAGTGGTCTGTCTGAGCACTGTCTACAATTAACAGTGTTAGATACTTTGTCAGTGCCCAAAATATTCGTTCAAATTAAAAGTCTATGTACTTATTCAATAAATATAGCAAAATAGTCATGTTGTAGCACTTCAGACTCACATGATAATGATACCAGTAAAAGTTTTGCACTCAGTGTACAGAAGAAAAAGTACAATTTTCCATAAATATATGTACAATATCCTGTTTTTGTTAAAAAACATGAAAGGTAGTTTTCAAAAACTACTAATAAATAAGAAAAACTATATTTCCAGTTCAAGTTCACTCTCCCAAAATCAAAAAGGAAACCCAAAACTAACTCATTAAAATGTCATACATTCCTATAAAAACTAAGTAACTCCATGATTCTAACCAATATAAAAAATCTTGTTCTGACATAGATCTAAATGTCCAAGTGACTAGCTACAAAGTCTGTGGAGCAATTAGCAACCTGTACTGCAAGTTAGATATGCAGTGTGAACCTTAGATCTTTTAGATTCAGTTCTGGTCTTAGATTTACTGTGTTGCACCCGCACAGCAATAGTGAAGTTTTCTACCTTTAGGAGATTCCTTATCACTCTCAGGAAGATAGGACACTATCTCTTATTAGCACAAAACATTCTCAAATGATGGAAAAAAATCACTTTAGAATGTTTTTTGTTTGCTTGTTTTGTCTGAGTCCATTAGCTATGTATTTTAAATTTTTATTTTATTTGAATTATAAACAATCTTATTTTACATATCAATCCCAATTCCCTCTCCCTCCCATCTTCCCATGCCCCACACCAAGCCCCCATCCCACCCAGCTTCTGCTCCCCAGGGAGAGTGAAGCCTTCCATGGGGGAATCATCAAAGCCTGTCACATCATTTGAGACAGGGCTAGGTCCTCCCCCATGTGTCTAGACTGAGAGAGTATCCCTCTATGAGGAATAGGCTCACAATGTCCATTTGTACATTAGAGATGAATACTGTTCCACTACCAGAGGCCCCATAGACTGCCCAGGACTCCTAACTGACACCCACGTTTCAGGGGGCCTGGTTCAGTCCTCTGACAGCAGGGTAACTAGCATAGGACCGAACAAGGATTTTTTTTTTAAATGGCTTTGTTTTTCTGACTTAACAATCCTACAAGAAATCTCAAAAACCTTTAAAAGTTTAATTTCATATTAAATGATTCGATGTTCATCTGATAGGGTCAGTAGACAAAACATTCTTCTTTCCAAGAGTTTTCATTGCTCAGTTTACGGTTGTGTAAATAATTTGATTGGCAGGAATGCTATGTGGATATTCTACCTGGGAAGAGAGTAAAGCATGTCATATCAAAGCACAGAAACTTCTAGTGCCTATATCCTTCATGGTGAAAGCTACGTAGAACTTTCTACCTTCATAGATAACCCTGAAATCACACACGAATGCATCCTCCTCCTTTTACCCCTGATGCTGTGTACTCTTTGCGTTTTACCTCATTTCCTAGGAGGGCATTGATGCAGGCTTCGGATGCATCACAGATGGCTGTCAGATCATGTCCTCCTTCTAGGGCCAATGCCACACGTCCACCAGCCAATGTCATCAACTGCCTCGTCAAATGACCAAAACCTAACATAATAAAAACAGAGCATTCCAAAGTATTAAATCAAAAAAGAAATACCAGTACGCAACAGTGATTGAACATTTATTCTGTTAGAGTTCCTTCTCAGCATTTCTAGTGCCACTTCATGTAACACCCACATTATTATCTCAGTGTTTCAGACAAGAGCATGGAAGCCAAAGATCCCACAGAAAAAGAAATATCACAACTTGCTATTCTTGACTTGAATTCTTTCATCTGTCTCTTCACCAATAGACAGCAAAGCCTCACCTAACAGGATTTGTAACCACCTGATGACAAACTTGAAGAAGCTGTGAGTGTAAGTCAGTGGTAGAGTGCTTGATTAGGATATATGTGGCCCTACGTTCCCTTCCCAAGAAATGTGCATATGTGCGCACACGAGCACACACACACACACACACACACACACACACACACACCACTAAAGTTAATGGGGTAGACTCGCCCATTTGTTTGCCCCGTGCTTCTTGTCTCCACCATTAATGCTGATTATAAAAGGAAAGTTTGTAAACCACTACTTCACTATTAGATATGGTTCAATTTTTATCATATTTTATTATAAAATATTTGATAAATGCAAAATATATAAATTACATATATACATTAATAGGCTACAAATGAATCTCACTTGTTTCTTAAGGAAAATATGCTAGCACTTTGGCAAAATCCTGTATGTGTCATTCTCCAATAGCATCAGTTCTCCTCCATGTGGGAATCAGGAGTCGGAGTTAGCTTTTTAAATTCTGTTGTTTTCCTTTGCTTAATTCACTTGCCTTCAAACCTTCATATGTGTGTAGCTTGCTGTCCTCATGAGTATTGTTCCCTCCACTCTGTTCATGCATGAAGCTACAGTTCTTGGTTGTATAGTAGGCTAACTCATCTCTACAGAATTTTCTTGCCCAGGTTTCTAGCTATAGATATTTGGTGTTGTTACAAAACTTTTAGGTTTCCTGTTATTATTGCAAACAACGTTGCCAAGAATGTCTTTATGAAAGTCTTGTGGTGCACACATGCAAGCATGGATGGAGTTGCGGGTTAAAACTCATAGAGTAATGCCAGATTGCTTCCAAAGGCCCATCAGCAGCCCTCACATTTAGAAGCAGTGCAAATGACAATCCCAGTTCTGCCATACCACACCCTCCACAGCATTTGCTGGAATTTACTAAGCAGGTGGATGAGCAATGCCTGGTTATTATGGTTTCATTCTGTATAAGGAAGGAGCTTTCTCTTTCTAGTTTGAGTTGGAGTTACTCTTTAAATTGTTGTAGAATTTGGTTTAACTTTTCCTCTATGTAGACTGGGTTTTTTCCTACAATTTTGGAGTACTGTGAGTGAAAATGCACTCACTTAGATTTCTAATATTAAGTCATCTTTGTGCTTCTGACATAAAATAAACTTTCTTCTGATGCATTATTTTTTTTTGTATGAGCCCAATTCATCTAACCAATATTTTCTTAGTATTTTTTTAAAATCTATGTTCACAAATGGGGTTAATTTTTAATTTTCTGTTCATGTGATGAATTCTGATGTAGCTAGATCCCTGTCTTCATTATCTGACCTAGAATGTTGGATGGGTATTTTCTTTTAAGCCTTTTAGGTTTGAATTTACTTGGCAAAGGTTTTTGACTCTTGATCCAATTTTTGGAGGATTATAGGAATATTCATGCTATGTCTTCTTCAATCGTATTTTTCCATGGATTCATTCTATTATGCATATGCTCAAATTTATTGAAAATTTAGTATCTTTACCCTTGATCATTTCCAACTTCAATGGGATATGTGTAAACTATTTTCACTAATATCTCTTAAATTCTTTCATATTTTCCACGTTGATTTCTGTGCTATATTTTCTCTTTTTACATAGACTTTTTAACTTCAGAACTTTCAAAGCTTTTCTTTTCGGAAATTTCCAACCTGTTGTGTAGAACCATTATTAGCTTTAAGTGATTGTATAGTTTAATTGCAGCATTCTTATTTGTTTATACTTCATAATTTCCAAGTTATTTTTTAGATTCTTGTTCCTTGATTGTATCTTTTATGAATTTATTGTATTTCTTTTAGCATCTTTTACTTGCTACATCTTATATTTAAATCCTTTCAGTTTGGTTGGCTCTTTGTTCTTTGCATCGATTCATCTCCACAGTTCCTTTAATTTTCCTATTTCTGTTTTGTTGTCTTTTGTTTTTATTTTTTGCCTGTCAAGCTCATATTCAGTTTATATAAGAAAAATATTTGAAGCCTGATGCTATGGACAGAGTGACCACACTCCCACTTTCCTCAAGTTGGAATCCTAATTGCCAAGGCCATGGTATCCACAGGTGGGCCTTGTGGTAATTAGGTGATAACTCATGGATGAGATTAGGAACTCCAAATAGTACTCTAATGATTTGTTTTTGTTTTTTTTCTTTGTTTGTTTTTTTGGCACACCAGCCTACTAGAAGTTCTAAGTATAGGAACATTCATTAGAACTAACCATGGTGGCTTCTGCTACAGGTTTGACAATGGTGAGAAAAAAATCCAGTTGCTTTTAAGCCATTGTTCTATTATACCTTTTGTATCAAAGGTAACTAAGACACCTAGTTGAATGAAGCATCTGTCTTTCAAGCCAGGTGGAGTGTAGTTTGGTTTCTTCTGCTAAATGCTTAAGATGCTGTCATCTAGATCCATTTTAGCATCTTGGACTGCAGGGTGAATTTAAGATTTTGATTCTTCATATTTATCATACATATGGACTGGAAAGATTGATCACATTCATGAGGAAGTCATGGATTTTTTTTTACCTCACTCTCTATTTCCTTCCAGCTTCCTGTGCTGCTGTTGATAATGATGAATCAAATAGGCTAGCAATTTTTCAGGAGCTTTTCTCTTTAGAGATGGCCTTTCGTTGCTTCCCATCTTCAATCAGATCCACCCTCTATTATAGGATCACACTTTGACTAGTTTAGCATGTAAGAAACAATGTTCAGAAAATGAAGATTTAGGAATGGATACTCTAAAGTAACCAACATCTCTGGTATTTGTTAAGTGTCCTTCATCTTTTAGTATGTCATCAATACATCTCAAGGTACTTTTTATATTTATCTTAATGTTTTAAGATAATTTAATGTCAGATTATTTGAAAACACCTACTCTTTCATATTGCCAAACTGGAACATTCTTGTTCAATATTCTTTAACTCATATCATACAAACCTGTCCAATTACATAGTAGGTGCATAAACAAAAAAAGAATTGTTTTAGCATGACATTTCATTTTTAGATTTTTCTGAATTCACAAAGGGAACACTTAATTTTAAACCAAATACATTTAGAATAATTAATAAATGCTATTTTCAAGGTAGTTTATAATTTACAAAGAATTAATCAGAAAGTACAGATTGTAACCTATATAACCATCCTGTTCGCATTATTATTACTATTTATATTAGTATTACTGTTTATATTAGTATTTTAAATTTGCTATAATTTCAAAGTTAATAATGATGCAATATTATGAACTCAAATCTATGGTCATGCTTCATACTTGGTGTTGTACAAAGCTGTGGAGCTTGACAAATGAAGAATTTCATGTATCCTCCAACATAGTATCACAAGAAATAGTTACAACTGCCTAAGATCACATTTGCTCAATTCTTTGGCCCTTCTTTCTACTCAGCTCTTGCTAATCAATGGTCCTCTTGCTTTTCAGTTTTGTCATCTACTTGATGCTTTCATGAACTCAAAAATTTCAGTTTACTTTATTCCTCTTTCTAAATCAAAGAACACATGATTCCTTGTCCTCTTACTAATATAGCACATATTTGGAATACTTGTACATATCTGCACATATCAAAGATTAACACTGCAAGAATAAATTTGCACATGGAACTGCATGCTCTAAAGACATGCTTGGCCTGCTTTTTCTCCAATACTTGCTTTTCTCTGAAGTATTGCAGTCTCATATACAAAAAGAAATCCCCAGAGTCTAGATGATAGACCAAAGCTAGAACCATTGGAATGGTTAAGTAGTAAGAACACAAACTTAAGCATAGTTGCTTCCATGTGAGAACAACAACAAGAAACCATAATAAACAATATCATCTTAAGTTTTGGAATGAATTGAGGTACTCACCCAGTAAATAACTGTAAAGTTTTCCAGTGTGGTTGGCTATGGGCCCTTTGAGATGGTTTCTCCCTACTGTCCTAAAGCACTATAATGTCAATTTCAACCACTTAACTGTCCCATATTCTTATATGGTTATAAATTTCCTTTTTTGCTTTTATAACACTGCGTGAAAAACAAGTGAAAACGGCCTTCCAAATTTTCGGTACCTCTCACTTCCTATGGAGCTGCTGATTATTTCACATGACACTTATGAATAAGACTGAGGACAGTGGGCTCCACACTGTTACCCGATAAGTAGGAAAGGAAGATTGATGTTCAAAAAACAAGTGATGCAAGGTGCTCAGATATGTTCTATACCCCAGTCCTTGTCAATGTTATGTAGTAGTTTATTTTATTGTAGGAAACAAAATATCCTAGACAAGGTCACAGTTAAATATATTATTAAGTAGTCTAAATAGCATCTTCTGTAACTTAAGCAGGACTATAGTGACCATTTTCATAATGGAATTCTAAAACAAGACCATGCACTACATGTTTCATAATGAATGCTCCTAGAAATTGTGGATGCAACAATGAAACTCCCATTGAGCAAATAAAATCCAGCATAGGTAGAGGGGTCCCAGATTGATTCAAGCTCAGTTTTACCTTTAAGAATAAAAGAAACATCTCATAAAATGCCAAATTTAGATGGGATAGTAAAACGTCAAAGGGAACAATGGAATGAATTTAATCTTTGATCTTATTCCAAATTGCTCCTTTTGTCTCCAGGCTTTGTTTCCACTCACGTGCCGCCCATGTGATCCCTGGAGTCAGAGATGGCAGCAGCTGAACTTGGGTGGTTATGTGTGGACAAAACACCAAGTTCAGCAAAGGAATGAA